CGCCCCACTGCTGCTGCCCAGCGGTGGCCATGGATTTGGACGCCAGATCTGGACCAATATGCTCGTCCTGTGAGATGCTCTGCACTTGCATTTTTCGATTGGGAACATGTTAGTGCAGAGCAAATTCGACCGGAGACGGGCTGGGACCAGTGGGAACGATAGATGGAAGAAAGAGGATTTGTCATTCCACCAGTTCGAGTGTTGACGGAGAACTTGGAAGCAGCGAGCCGATCGTCTGCATCGAACCAAGTAGGAGACGTAGATTTCCGAATCGTTGCTGAACTTCATCATCGGCCAAGCCGCAATGATGAAGTCATCTCGGAACGTGAAGAAAGGCTGCGATGTCGGACGGCGTATGCAATAAACATATCGCCCAGCGACATCCACTGATTGTTCCGATTAGAACGCTGCCCTTTTGGCTTGATGTGATTTCTATGTATGGCTGCATGTGCGGCTATAAGTATAACAATGACACATGCGAGAGGCCAGAAGTTATCAAATTTGCAACACCATTTGTCTTGAATGCTGATCGACTCTTCCAAATACGAGCCCGTTGGACAAAGACATCATTTATGAAGTACCGCCGGGAATATCCGAGCTTGTGGATAGAACTTGGAACCAACCGTAAGATCGAATCCCCACCCATGGAAGATGGGGACGGGTTCTGTTTGCTGTGCGCGAAGTCATATTCTTGTTCATGTCCGCGGGAATCCATGTTGCGTTCCCAGGGTATGAGGTGCAGCGTAATCCGCAATCCACCCAAATCATGCAATATGCTTATGCTTTGGATTGTCGGATACGAACTGCAGCGGAGAGATTCGACTCATAATTGGATCAACGGATTAGGCAATGAAGTATTGGAGACCGCGCGACGGAATTGCTCAGGTATCCAAGAGGCTATGGTTTTCATGCACACGTCTACGGAGCCTCCATTTAGTGCCAAGATCTGTCTTGCCAACAGCCTTTTCGGGGTCTTCAATGCTGACGACGTTATTGGGATTACCAATTGTCTCAAGAAGAAAAAGGAAAGTGGCCCAGCCAAGCCTCCAACCGAGACAATCCCAGCCGAGTCGCTAGCAGATGCTGCAACACCAGTTGTTGAAGGCATCGCCCCGAGCGGCACCGCCGCCCCAGGACAGCGAACTCAGCAATGCTCTCGCCCAGCGTCACGACCGAGGTACCAGTGTGGAAGGCAGACCTATCGGGCCGCCTCCAATGCACCTGCGTCCGCCGGCCCAGCCGCGTCAGGCGCCAATGCTGGCTGGATCGATTATGACAGAGTCCAGTCGTGGGCCAGCGAATCTTGGACAGACTCGAGCCCATCCCTGAAAGACTGGCTGTAGAGCCGACTGGTGGCCGCGCGAGCGATGGCGGCGGCCCCGGGCCGGCCACGTTCGGCGTCTACGACGCGACCGCCGACGGCGAAGACAAGAAGGATAATTGAGAAATTCAAGGATACTATGTGCATGTACCCCAGCATCAGCAAGTAGCCGGTCACAGCAAAACGCGGCAATGGTTTAGTCTGGACGAGCGCAATGACGAGTTCCAGCGTGACTCCGGGATGCCAAGTACCTTGCCAGAGCCTCCACCGCCGCCTACGCCGAAGGCGAGGCCGCCGGAGAGAGGCCAGGGCATGAGTGAGCCAAGTGGCTGGAGCTCGAGCAGAAGAGAGGACCTCTCCTCCAGGAATCAGAACCAGTGGCGCTGGGGCAACAGCGACCCCTGGGACGACTCTCGTGAATGGAGAGGTCGCTGGAGAAGGTGATTCAGCGCAATGGAGCCAGTACGACAAAGTCGATGCTGGTCCGCACTACTTCGCGGAGCGGGCGCACCGGGCGTGCACGGGCATTGTGGCCTGAGTTGGAAATATTTGCTCAGGCTGAGAACGTCGGGTTTCTTCGGCCTTCCGCCTCCTGGCAACCACCGTTGAGCGGTAAAATGCTTTTGGGGTTCGCTCCGGTGGCTGCGCATATGTGCAGGCCAGGTGGGTTGGGGGGTCGGCGGCTCTACGGACACCGCCGCGGGGGAAGTCAATGCACCCATTCCGCGCCACCAATATTGCGCCCTGCCTGCTCTCTCCTTGCGCGCGCTGTCTGCCTGCTGTGCTGACTGGCTACTTCTGCTCCCGCAGCTATAACTACTTTGGCCCCAGGGAAACGGCAAAGGAGCGAGCCTGCGGCGCGCGCGTGAGTCGGCCGACGGGCCGGCCTCCTCCCTTCACTGCTACTTTAGTGTATGCTTGACGACACTGTCCCGTCCTACCCATGCCATCAGCGGATCCCACTGACAATGATATATCATCGGAACAGATTGCAGGGATTATGCATATCCAGGCAAACCATTCAGATGCGCTGTATCTCTCGCACCGCCAAGCCGCAGTCCCCGAGGCCGCCCGCATTGTCCAGGAGAGCCCCACCCGTCGTCGATGCCTGGACCTTCTTGGCAGCCCCCCCCTGGAGTTCTCTGATGGATACCTGCTTGTCGCCGTCAGCCATTGGCGTGTCAGACCCCGCCAGTGCAGCAGCGTCGACGCCCCACTACTCGTCGGGTGTAGGATGTGGCCCACCGATCAAAACGTCGCTGTGCGAGTCCTTGGCAACGGGCGCAGGCGTGGCAGCTGCAGGTTCAGCAGCGGCCCCAGCTGCCACGCCCGAGGCGCCGCCAGCGCGCGGTGCCGAGAGAGCCCGCGGTAGGATAGTGAGAGTGCACGCCAGCGCACTGCCGACCTCGTCCTCCTGTCCAGGACGCCAGCCCAGCACCTGCGGCACTTTCTGTGGCGCGGAGAAGGCAGAGACGCCTGCAGGCAGGGCGGGCACGGGGCGCCTCGCCGCCATCGCCTTCGCCCGATCGGCCATCGCTTTGAGCTCGCCCTCCAGATCTCGAACCATGCCCTTCGCCGCGGCGAACTGCTCCGCGGCCTTCTGCGCGACAGCGCGGTCGCGATCGAAGGCGCCCTTGGCCGCCTGCGCTTCTGCGGCCTTCGAGTCGATGGCCGGCCGGGCGCCCTTGGTCATTTCGGCCGAGACGGGTCCATCGAAGCCGCGCTCGCGCTTCCACCGCGCTTGCTCGAGCGTGTCACGACGCGACTGAGGCAGCGCAGCTGCGGCGCAATCAGCGCACCGCGGGGGGGCACATCCAGCCATGCTTTTGCTTGTGCCTCATCAAGCTGCTGCTGCGATCCCGCTCCTCCTCCGCCGCCAGACTCGCGCCCTTTCCCGCGGGTCCCCGAGGCAACGTGCCTCTTGCGAGGGGTCGCTTGGAGGGCGCGGGAGGCGCGGCCTCGGCGCTGCGATGAACATGCCGAGGACGAACCGATTTCGGGACCGCACTGGTATCTTTGGGGCCCTGGCCGATACACCCCGAATGCCGACGCCTCGCCTTGAAACCATAGTTGCGGTGGCCGCGGGATCCGCGCGTCAATCCAGACATCGCAGGTGCCGAGCGGGAACGCCGATAACGTCGCGAACCCTAGGCCATTCGCTCGCGAGACCGAGCTCCGAAACAACGCGCCTCGACCGCTCGAGCGAGGTTGGAAGTTCAGGGGGGGGGCTTGAGCCAAAATGGCTACGGACATCCTCCCCTTCCTCCTCCCCCGACCGCAGCCATTTGAGTTCAAGCCTCTTCGCCCCCGACATCTTGGCTCTATGTGCTCGTTCGTGGCGCCAGATGCCGGGTGTCCGCTGGCTGCGGGGCTCGCCCCTGGCGCGTGAAGAGGCTCATCAAGGAGAAGTTCAATCTGCGGGCGCGCTTGGAGGAGCTCGAAGCGGTCGGCGGCGACGAGTCCGAGCTCTCGTCGCCGTTGCAGTTCGCGGCCCCAGCGCTCGCCGCCGCGATTGCTGGCGGGGTGCCAACTGAACTGCGAGTGGCGCGGCGCAGCGCGGCCTCGCGCCCCCACGGGGCCCCCGGGCAGCGCCGCGTCGGCCGTCTCCAGCGCGCCCGAGAAAACCACGGCTCCGAGTGCGCACCGAATTCCCGCGTGCCCAAACACTGGGGCTGATTACCAGCCTCGAACGTATCCCTATCCCCAAGATTGACACGCCAAAAGGCGACGACACTCTTAGGGATTCGCCCTCAAACAATCAGGGAAGCCCTAAGATTGGCATCGTGATGAGGAGGTGCCCAGCACAGGGATGAAGGGGCCCCAGGACACACAAATAAATACACACAAATAAGAATAATCCCCATATGTTCCTATATTTTCTGGGTTTTTGTCTTCCCCCCACTTCCCATATTTTCCCATATTTTCCTGGGGGTCGACGATTAATTGTGTCTGTGTGCTTTTTCCCCTCCTGAAGGGTTAGGGACATGCTCCAGGCCGGTAAGCAGACGCAGGCGGGGCCAGCGCAGTGGCCTGCTGCGCCGCTCCCACGGCGGGGCCCGCCTGCAGCTTGACCTCCGTCCCGGACTGCCCGCGGATGGAGTTCAGCGCCGATTGCGAGGAGGACGAGGAGGAGTAGGAGGAGGAGGAGGAGGAGGAGGAGGAGGAGGAGGCGCTGGCCGCGGGAGGAGGCGCCTCCTGGGGCCCCCTACGGGGGACGACTGCCCTTTACCAGCCTCGAACGTATCCCTATCCCCAAGATTGACACGCCAAAAGGCGACGACAGTCTTAGGGGTTCGCCCTCAAAAATAGGGGAATCCCTAAGGTTGGCATCGTGATGAGGAGGTGCCCAGCATAGGGATAGGGATGTGTTCCAGGCTGGTAATGCCCTGCCTCAGGGGCCGCAGAGTCCGCGCACGAGCTGCGCACGCCCGTGAGCGCGAGGATGTGGACGCAGACCAAGCTGGTCTCGGCGGTGGTGCTATCGCCGTATCTCACCACCCACCAAACCACCCCAACCCAACCCGAAGGCCTCAATTCACCCTCCATTTCCAGTGGGGGGGGGTCGGGGAACGTTGAAAAAACACATGGAACCCGTACCCCCCCAACCCGAAATTCGGGTCAAATTCGGGTCTTCGGGTTGGGTTGGGGTGGTTTGGTAGGTAGTCAGTATCTGGTTGTCATGGTGATGCCCAACATGCTCTTGCAATCCTTGATCTTCCTGATGAGGTTGGAGGTGCTTCTGGATATTTGGATGCGTCTCTCGGTGAATTTGAGTGCGTTGCTCGTTTCGGCCCTGGCGCTGCATCCTGTGTTCCTGATGCCGCCATCCGCTTCCACAGCGATTCGGATCTTACGCCTCAGGAGGAGTATTGGGATAAATGTCAGCCTGCTAGCGATCCACACCGCTGGCCTGTCGTGGTCGTCCAAGGACGTCCACGTGCTGGAGGTCGCTGTGTTTCTCGGTGACCAGCGGCTCACCTGCCTCCAGCGCCACGTGCTGTTGAACGACCTTGAGGAGTGCGGTTTGTCGGTGTTATCATGCTCCACGTGCGGCTTGTGTTTTTTTTCTTCGACGCGGCAGGTGCACTCAGGCCTCAGGTGGTCTCGCCCTCCCCCACCACCTGAGTGAGTGTAAGGCCGGGCAGCTGTGCGCTGATATCCAAAATCCTCATCGCCCCCCTCCTCCCCCTCCTCCCCCGCCACCGCCTCCTCCTCCTCCTCCTCCTCTTCCCCCTCCTCCCCCTCCTCCCCCGCCGCCGCCTCCTGGGGTCCAGGAAGGTCGGATTCCCAGGCGGCGGATGTGGGCACAGCTCGGCCACGGAGGGGGGCGCCCCCTTTGGCCCCCCAGGCAGCGATCGTGCCCCTGGCATCGCTCGGACGTGTGCATTTCTCCTTCGGCGAGGGCCATCGAGGAGCATCCTTGATCATTTGGCGAAAAAACCACGCACGAAACCGAAAAAAACACAGGGAATGGACGCCCGAGCGATGGCCAGTGCCGCGAGGGGCCGCCCAGCGCCGGGCGAGGTGCACACGGCCGTGGCCTTGGCCACGGCAGCTTAGCGAGCAGCACGGTGCCATCGTGGCGGCACGTGGGCGCCGGCAGCGGACACGGCCCAGCCTCTCGGAGGGGAGCTCCCCCCTTTTCCCCCCCCCCATGGTCCTGGCATCGCTCGGACGTGTGCATTTCTCCTTCGGCGAGGGCCATCGAGGAGCATCCTTGATCATCTGGCGAAAGAAACACGCACGAAACCGAAAAAAACACAGGGAATGGACGTCCGAGCGATGGCCAGCGGTGGGGAAAGGATCGGAGCGAAGGGGCTTGCTTGCGACTCGACTGCGACCTGGTTCGATTCACCTCAGGTTGGCCAGCTTGGAAAGCCATGGGTGGCCCGGGGGAGGAACAGCCTTGACCTGAGGAGCACGCAGAGCTGCCAACAAGGCTGTCGGCGATACACTTGGGCTGGCAAATCACCGGCCCTCGGTTGCAAATGGCGGCGCGTAAATGCCCATGGGGAGCTCCACCAAATGGCCCAGTAGGCGTGTTCGCATGTCGTCCTCCCGCCCATTTCGGCACACCTCACGCGCTTCGTTGCCACACAGGGAGCTCCGCCGAGGGCCGCAGTAGGTACGTTCGCACGCGTTGCCGCCGCTCATTCCGACACACCTCTCACATGCTTCGTGGTCCCACAGGGGGCTCCACCGAAGGCCCCAGTGGGAGAGTTCGCATGGTACCCCCAGCCTGTTCCGGCACGCCCATCGCACTCTTCGTGGCTTCATAGGGAGCTCCACAAAAAGGCCCAAGTGGGTGTGTTCGCATTTCGCTCACATCGTACATTCGGGCACATTCTTCACACGTTTCGTGGACCATGGCTCCACTGAAGGCTGCAATGGGCGTGTTCGCATGCTGTCTTCCGCCCATGCGTGCGCCCCTCACGCACTTCGTGGCCCCAGAGGGAGCCCCACCGAAGGCTCAAGTGGACATGTTCGTATGGCGTCCCGAAGCCCATTATGGGCACACCCGTCACACGTTTCGTCGACCCAAAGGGAGCTCCACCGAAATCCCCAGTGGGCACGTTCGCATCACGTCCCCCCTGGCCAATGTCGGCACACCCTTCACACGCTTCGTGGTCTCAAAAGGAGCTCGTGCCAAGGCCCAAGTGGCAAGTTCGCATGACATTCCCCCCGCCCATGCCCCACTACTCACGCAGTTGGTTGCCCCAGAAGGAGCCCCGCCGAAGGCTTGGCATGTTCGCATGGCGTCTTCCCGCCAATGTCGGCACACCCATATAACAATTAATGTTTCGTGGCCCATACAGGGAGCTTCACCGAAGGTTTCAATGCGACCATCCGCATGGCGTCGCCCCGCCCATTTTGGCACATGCCTCGCACGTTTCGTGGCTCCCGTTGGAGCTCCACCGAATGCCCTCGTGGCAAATCAAATCTCATGGAATGAAAGAGGCATGTTCTGCGCCACTCGCAGTTGCATACGATCGGGTCTTTCGCCAGGCTACTTGTTTCACGGTGCTAGCTCGCGAAGTTGTACGGTCCAGCTTATTGTCAGTTCGTGAAGCTATGCGGGCCGAGTGCCATATCATCTTAACCACGTGCGGTCGTTCATGCGCGCATCGCTCCAGAGCTCGCGCGCTACAGGTGACATTCTCTCGCCAGCTCCCCCGACAGGCGTCGCCGCTTTGGACGAGGCGTGAGCGGACGTGAACATCTTTTTCGGCACCCGCCGACATGGACCTCATTTTCGGCACCTGTGCGAAGCACAAGGGGCACACGGGGGTTGGGTGCTCTGCGGGTGGGCCAGTTCCTTCCTCCCCGTTCCTCCTCCCCTGAGATCCGACGCAGCGAAAAAATACAACATCGTCAAAATCACGCCCGGAGCCCTAGACCCCATGTTTCTGCATCATTGTTCGAGCACGATCGATCTGTGAGGATCTCTGCGAGGATCCCGGGGCCTGAAGGAGGAGGAGGAGGAGGAGGAGGAGGAGGAGGAGGAGGAGGAGGAGGAGGAGGAGGGAGGAGGAGGAGGAGGAGGAGGAGGGAGGGAGGAGGAGGAGGAGGGAGGAGGAGGAGGAGGAGGAGGAGAACGCCGGGCTCGAAAAGACCGAGACGCCAGGATCTCAGGGCCCTCCTCCTCCTCCTCCCTCCTGGCGGATTGGCGAGTTCCCTGCTCTTCCTGCCCCGTTCCACGTGCTCGTCCTCTCCCTGCTCTTCCTGTCCCGTTCCTGTCCCTGCTCCTCCCTGCTCGTCCTGTCCCTGCTCTTCCTGTCCCGTTCCTGTCCCTGCTCCTCCCTGCTCGTCCTGTCCCTGCTCTTCCTGTCCCGTTCCTGTCCCTGCTCTTCCCTGCTCGTCCTGTCCCTGCTCTTCCCGTCCCGTTCCTGTCCCTGCTCGTCCCTGCTCGTCCTCTCCCTGCTTTTCCCGTCCCTGCTCTTCCCTGCTTCCCCCACGGCTGCGCCGCCTCTCCCGCCTCTCTCTCTCTCTCTCTATCTCTCTCTCTCCCTCTCTCGGGAGAGGAGGAACTCGGAACTCGGAACTCGGGGATCCACGAAAAGGCCGTCACTCAGGACGGCACTGCCGGGGGTTTGCAAGACACAATTAGCCTTGCAGACCAGACTAGGCCCTTAGAAGGGCCACAAAACACGCCGTTTGGCCACAAACTCACAGATATGGAATCCGAGTGCCGACATGGACTCAGCACGAGAGCAGCCTAACAGAGACACAAACATCCCTCTCCCACAAACACAGCAACCAACTCACCTCCTGATACCCCTCCATATCCACAATACAACAATAGAAAATGGAGAGCTTAGCATGTGCCGCCTGAAATAGCGGCCTTGAACCACCTGTGTAGGTCGGCCTGAACCTTTTCTTGGGTTGCAGCAGGTGGCGGCAGCTCGGGAGGTGGCCCAAACAGGTTAACCGACAAACATTGGAAGTCTTCTGAGTTCGGCCCCTCTCTCCCTGCGCCGACGCACCGCTTCAGCCCAGTTTGCCGCTATCCTCGCTAGAGCAGCATCTGACAAGGGTGGCGGGAGAGGCGGAGGGGGAGTGGAAGGAATCCGAATCGAGTCGGGAATCTCTTGGGAGCTCCCTGGGGTCTCTGGCATGGGTTCCCTAGCAAATGACATAGCAACTGAATGATTGTCTAGATCATTCTCACGGTAATCACTCACCTGTGTCACAGAACTACAAATCGATCTAATCCTAGCAAAAGTGGATTGCTTCCTCTCGGACCTGGGTACAGCAAAATCTGGGCCCATCATTGGAGCCTCGGAAGCTAAAGGCGCCGTGGACACAAACAACTTTTTAGCAGCTCACACTGATCATTGTCATTGCCCTCGCAGAACTCAATAGTCGGGAGAACCGTGTCCAGCATGGCTTGACCGATGACAGAGCACAGAGCTGTCGGATAAACTTTTTTCTGGAGGTACGGAAGGAGCCGTCAGCCTTTTTGCCCAACAACACATCGTGGGCTCTAGGACCGTGGCTACACTTACCTCCTCCTGGGGTAGACGTGAGAAGTGTGGAACGCGAGGGCATTCTGACGGCCAGAATTCCAGTCGGAGCTCTCCCCTCCTGGCTAAATTCTCACTGGTCGAACTCCGTCAACGCACACGCTGGAGCTGACAAAAGAGCCTTCGTGGGGCGGAAAGACCATGATGGGACTGCTCGAGGCTCCCACGTGGGCGACGCTGGATGTTCAACCCACCCTGCACCTCCAACACATGCAGCTACACACAATAATTCCACAATAGCCATGTAAAGGTCGTTGGCAACTTGAACTTGGAGCCTCTGCCGCGGGGTTAAAGCCGCCAGCCCCCAGGGAGCATTCCAGGACCTCAACGGAGGGGGTGCCCCATCCTTCCAGCGAGACGCAGAAACTGTTTCACATGGGGCCCCCCTGCTATCACAGCTACTCTACCTGCCTTAATGTGAACAGACCACAGATCTACAGTAGACTGCTTGCTAAGGTCTCCAACATCAGAATCTAATAAACTATCAATAGACAGGACACGCACCTCAACACCAGGTAACACAAGCTCCAACGCCGTTCCCACGGCACATTGTATGTCCCCCAAGCGGCGTTGGCCACACCACAAATTAGCAATAAAAACAGTTCGGCTATGCCGTCTGCGAGGTACTATAGAAGCCAGCCTACCTGTGTACTCATTCCGATCATATAACCAGTCCAACGTGCCGTCTACCGATCCTGGGGCAGGGGGATCGTCTGCCTTCAGTTGATCCAGCACCTTTCTGGACCATCCAGTAGTGTCCAGAAGGACATTCAGTAAAAATTGTTGGGCCTGAGCACGGGAATACATTGCATTTAAACCTCTAGCCGCTGGATGAATAGGGCTTGAGGCTATGCACGACGGAGTTGATGCATGAGAAGATGAGTACCCACGCTTGAAGGCAAGCTTGTTTTCTTGCTTCTCCTTCTCGGCCAACTCCTGCATCACTTCTTGAGTGTGAGGAGGCACCTGAGTTACATGAAACACCATACACATTGGACGCCAGGTCGTGACATGTCGGACAAGCAGCGCTCTCGATTCAAAAACTCTTAAACGAGCCAGGCATGTGTTATCTGAAACGTGCCTCTGCGCAATGCCTGACAGAGTAGTATGGTTAGCCCAAGTGTGAGCATCAAGAGAGGGCATATTCTCGGTGAAAAAAACGCAAAAATGGCACTTACAACAATTACGCGCGACAGGCTGCGGCGCGTCTCTAGGAGAGGGGAGGACTTCACTCTTCATCATGCTCAGGAGGCGCTTTTCCCAGCGAGATGCCTCCAGTTCCCGTCTCGCCTTAGCAACGACAGCCTTAGTAACTTCCTGAATCGCACGTAGCCACGACCCCCTGGAAGATTTTACTTTGTTAACCCATGCTCCTGTGTCAGAAGATGGTAGGGGCATTTCCTGGAAAGCGTGATGTGACGACCTCAACCAGGAAACATATTCCAGGATCTGGTGCAACCATACATTTTGTTTAGCCCTTATGTTAGCCTGCACGTATTCAGCAGGTAGTAGCGCCAGCAGAGGGTAGGTGCAGTTGCCAAGGCCTGCCCGGATAATCGTAGACGAGCAGCCCGTATCACAACAGACACAATGGGCCTTAGTGCAGCAGACATGACGTCTTCATCAGTAGGGCCTCCAGCCTCAACGCAAGGTAATCTCAATACACGCCTATATATCCGTACATATTGGGACCGAACTCTATTCATGTCATTGCCAAACATATTATACCATGTACCTGCGCCATACAATGCTGAGTTCATGACAAGCGAATCAGTAAACATCAACTTAGGTACAATAGATGCCTAGGTGGCCCTCTTGAAGGCCTTGCTAAGCACGGACAACTGCACGCGTGATTCAGTTTCTCGGTGTACCAGTTCAGGCCCCACGGTCAATAATCACTGAACCTAGATGTACTGCTGCGCGCACAACATTGATGCCTTCACCGACGAACATGACCGCACAGGGTACACCTTCCCCAGGGAATGGAAAGCATGCCGTCGAAATTTAGCGGACCCAGGGCCAGTCAAGTGCAACATCAACTCTGTTTTTCCAATCTTCAGGTGAGGCACCAAGCCTACACACGCATGCGAGTTCACAGCAATTCTGCAGAAGTCTTCCAGACTCTCCTCAATGCCAGAAAGAGGCGCAAGCAATGCATACAGTGAGTCATCTGCATACACTATACCTGGAAACATGGCCTCTGCGCCTGTCGCCGGACTGTCCTCAAATACATTTGCAGATGGCACAGCAAACGAAAGGGTGAGTCCACGCTCCTTGAGATCCCTAGCAATCTTGTTAGTGACTTCTGCAATGATGAACAGAAACAGTGCGTCCCCAAATGGAGTACCTGGCCTGGTTCCTCTAAACGTAACAGCAATACTTTTTGATTGGCGGCTCCAAGGACGACTCCAAAGAGCGGGACGGTCTCGGCTGGGGCACGTAACAGCAATTTTCTTTTGATCTGCGGCCCAAAGGACGGTTCCAGAGGGCGGGTCAATATAACAGCAATACGCGTAGCTCCTGGGAATTGGAACCACCCAAACCTATAAACCTCCTCCACCATCGCCTTAAAATGATCATCCACATCCTGGGTATGTAACGACTGTAGCTCTTGCAAGCGCTGCGCCAGGAGCGGGGGGTATGATGCTGGCAGTCCGGCTTGCTGCAACAAAGATGTAAGAGACTCGGGGGAAACGTCTGTCTGAATGACCAATTCTCTGATAGCCATGTAATAAGCACTCATGACATCCACAAAAAGAAAGCATAGACATAGGCCAGCAGATTGCGCATTTCTTTGCAGTACACGTGCAACCAACAGAGCAAGTTGTCTGCCTCGACCAGGCGCACCTGCATACTGATGGGAGCCTACTGCAGACTGCATCGCCGGGTTAAGCCTTCTTCTAAGACATGCATGATATTGCTTGCCAATAGGAGAAGCTACCATAATAGATCTAGACGCACCAGGAGTATATACCGATCCACGGGCTTTTGGGATACGCGGCAAATCTCCACCTTTCCATTGCAACGGTTCCGATACCATAAGAGCTGTTTTAACGATGAGCGGGTAGAAGGCGACAGCCAGTGAATCAGCGCACGCGTGCACAAACTTGCCATGTAGGCCATCAGCACCACCTGCACTGCTTCCTAATAAGTCGCAATTCTCTTTGGAAATCCTGCAATGT